TGTTAAAATATTTGTGTTGTAATTATATAAATATCTTTTTTATTTAATATCAATTTTAATAATTAATAATTAAATTTTGCACAATAATTGCATTTGTGACGAATATTTTTTTTATGACGAATAAAATTATTATGAATAACTTGTTAATAATGTTAATTTTTTTTATCACTATAAAGTTATTTTTTATGACAGGTGCCTAATTTGTCATTAAGAGCATTAGTGTTTTACTAACGATTTAAATTTTATCACTAATAATAATTTGTAACGAAAAATAAAGATTTAATGATCAATAATTTAGTCACTAAATGTGGATTTTTTGGTAGTGAATATATTATAAACTATATTAAATTAAAACGAAAAGTGTATAAATTATTATTCTATCTCTTATCGTGATGGTTGAAATTTTGCAATTTTCATTTCTTTTCCAACAATATGCTGTAAGCGATGGTGCTAATTAAATTAGTAATTAAGTGTTGTTTTCAAGTCTCTACATTCATCACCATAGCAATATTTGAAGATATTCATATATATAAAAAATGCAGCATGGAAAGCCAAATACATTCTACACACTGAATAGGAGTTTTTAATTCTTGAAGGTGGTATCATAACATAAAGAATGAATTTTATTCCCAAAGGTGGTATCAACACATCAAGATGTTCAAAAATCAAGAATTGCCAACTTTTGTCCAGGATTTTACCAAATGATAGACGGATTTACCATATTTCCACAGGTGGAATACATACGAAAGAAACCTTTTCCACCCAACTAAAAATCTCAAGGGATGTTATACAAATGGGACTTGCAGAATATCAGATTTGCTGGGAAATGTTTTCCATGTCGTTGTTTTGCTTTCTTGACTTGGCACTGCTTAGAAAAAATTCCCATGAACTTCACAATAGCCTGTAAAAAATCAATAGCACACGTTACACACCAACACCATGTTATATATATATATATATGGAAAAAAGTGCCTGTCAGCCTTACCTCCTAAAGATTAGGAGGAAAATCATCTTAAAACTATATCGTTTCAATAATTTTCTATTGAAAAAGACTAAACTAGTATATTTTTAAAACATGCATTAAGGTAATTTTTGTCCTTTTTCCTCTTAATTTTTAAGAGGTCAGGCAGACAAACACTAACCCCTATATATATATATATATATATATATCTAGTAATATACATTTCTTACGAAGGAAAGAAACAATTTTAGTACTTTTAAACATATAAATTTATACCTTTCTGAGTTCATCAACAGCTCTTGAGTGCAAATGGAAGCATTAATTGGGTTTATATATTGTTGGGATTAGGCCCAACGCCAAATTCAGGCCACATATAACAGGCCCAACTATGCACACACAGGCCCAAGAGGAGGAGACACGCCCACGTGAGCAGCACCACGTGGCCCAATGAGTTACTTACATGTGGGAATGCATGTCAGTATTT